CATGGCCACTGGTCCCATCACCTCCTGGGAAATAGAAGGGGAAGATATGGAGGCAGTGTCAAATTTTATCTTCCTGGGCTCCATGATCACTGCAGATGGAGTCAGCAGCCCTGAAATTAAAAGGCGCCTTCTTCTTGGGAGGAACGCGATGACAAATCTTGACAGCATCTTGAAAAGCAGAGACATCACCTTGCCAACAAAAGTCCGAATAGTCAAAGCTATGGTTTTTCCTGTCGTGATGTATGGAAGTGAGAGCTGGACCATAAAGAAAGCTGACTGCCGAAGAATTGATGCCTTTGAATTGTGGTGCTGGAGGAGGCTCTTGAGAGTCCCCTGGACTGCAAGGAGAACAAACCTATCAATTCTGCAGGAGATCAACCCTGAGTGCTCACTGGAAGGACAGATCCTGAAGCTGAGGCTCCAGTACTTTGGCCATCTCATGAGAAGAGAAGACTCCTTGGAAAAAAGGATGTTAGGAAAGTGTGATGGCAAGAGGAGAAGGGGATGACCGAGGATGAGATGGCTGGACAGTGTCTGCGAAGCAACCAACATGAATTTGACACAACTCCGGGAGGCAGTAGAAGATAGGAGGGCCTGGCGTGCTCTGGTCCATGGGGTCACGAAGAGTCGGACACGACTAAACGACTAAACGACGAACGATTGCTGAGAGAGCTTTTCCTTCTTTGTAGATAAGCCTCTTAAATGGGAACCCGCACCAATATAGTATGCCTGTCTTTCTTAAATCTTCAGTATAAGAGTCTAGTTCTTTTATTTTGGAGTCTCGGACTGTATCTCCGAATACCAGGACTCTCCTCTCACCTGCTCCTTTATACTGCACTCCATTTTACATATTGAATTACAGTACATATTGCAAAGACACATTTGATTGCGACTTTGCAATGATGTTCCAGAGGTGTTCTGGATTTCTTCATTGTGAATGAAGTAGTCAATGTGCTCTCCAGTGCTGGATTTGTTAAGCTGTAGTTTTGGATGCAGGCCATTCAGCCATGTTATGACAAAAGAAACTAAAAAGTTGTACTGAACTGTATAAAAGCAGGCCAGGTTTTCACATGATGCCCAACATCATTTCCAATCAGGCTGCTAAAGAGAAGGCATTCCAAAATAAGAGCAACATGGCTAAGAAATCCCTCTTTCACATTCTTGTCACACACTGCTCCCAGCGTGGGACACAGAGAGAAATCATCTACATCTTATTTTAATATTCATGCTGGAAGAGATGCTCCCTCACATACTAAGATTTCAATCTATTTGGGGCTTTAAAAATTGACACCAACAGTTTGAACTTGGGCCAGTACGAGGCAGCCAGTGCAATGGCTTTTAAACTGATATATGTTGTTCTTTTTTGGTTAGATGTATCACCGCAAATTAATTTTGCATTAGAATTAATACTGTATTCCAAAAAAAATTTTTTTTGTATTTGTGGAACATGTGTAACTTTAAACTACATTCCAAAGTCTGGAAGTTAAGTGCTCACCAGTACAGCTAGATCTTACAAGCTCTTTCCACTGTCAAACACTTCATCTTTCAAGGATGGAAAGAGGAACACACAGTATCCGTCATTCAAAAGCAAATCTTACTATCTTAGCTGCACATGGAACATCTGTTGTGTTGATGCCAACTTTAAATGTAATATTTTATGGACATATAGTCAGCTTATATGTTTTGTCTCCTACATTATTTAACATCTACATGAAATCACTGGGAGAAGTTGTCCGGAGTTTTGGGGTTTGGTGATCACCAATGTACAGATGACGCCCTACTCTATTTCTCCTTGTCATCTAAATCCGAGGAAGGTGTTTGAGCTTTAGATTAGTATCTGGTGTTAGTAATGGACTGGATGAGGGAAAATAAACTGAAACTTGATCCAGACAAGACAGAGGTGCTCCTGGTCCGTCAAAAGAGAGAGTCAGGAATAGGGATGCAATTTGTACTGGATGGGGTTGCCTTCTCTCTTAAAACACAGGTATGCAGAGGGATGCTCCTGGTTTCGTATCTAAGCCTGGATGCCCAGATTTTGGCAGTGGTCAGGAGTGCATTTGCACAGTTAAAACTAGTGTGCCAGTTGTACTCTTCCTTGGAAAGATCTGATTTGGCCACTGTCATACACACCCTAGTTATTTCCCAGTTGAATTACTGTTATGCACTCTATGTGGGGTTGCCTCTAGAAAACGTCAAGAAACTTCAGTGGGCCCAATGTGCAGCAGCCAGATTGCTAACTGGGGCTGGTCACAGGGATCACATAACCTCCCTGTTACAGCTGCTCCACTGGCTGCCAATCCATTTCTGGGTACAATTCAAAGAGCTGGTTTTAACCAATAAAGCCTTAAATGGCTTGGGCCCAAGCTATCTCAAGGACAGCATCTCCCTTTGTGAGCCTGCTCAACTGTAAGACCACCAGCAGAGGCCTTTCTTTCAGTCAAATCACCTTCACAGGTACGTTTGGTGCATACGTGGGAGAGGGTCTTCTCTGTTGCTGCTCCCAGGCTTTGTTACTCCCTCCCATAGGAGGCCAATCTTTACTGTCCTTCTACAAGCAAGTGAAGACCTTTCTCTTTAGGCAGGCTTTCCCTGAGTGAGTGAGTGACTGGCTGCCTGAATGGGGTTTGTTAAATGTATTGCTGCACTTTATTGCTTTGAATGTGTTTTGGTATTGCTTTTGTTTACTGTTTTTTAAATATGGCATTTGATATTTTCTAGTATCTGTATACTCTTTATTGTTAGCTTTTAATGCTTTTAATAATGGAAGCCACCTTAGATCCTTTTGAAAGAGAAAGGTGGGAAATAAATAAATAATGTATATGTGTAGCCCATGGTTATATTATATTCTGCATATCCCTTTTCTTTTTCTCTCCTTTTTCTCATCCCTTTTTCTTTCATGTAGTTTGCAATCAATCAAAAACAGAAACAATTTAAACTCTGATGTGCGTGATGAATTCAGCATAATGCTTCTGCCTGAAATCAACCACCACCTTTTGTGTTGGCCACAGCTTCTGTGTCATCTTGATGAAAGTCTCACACATAATTAATATAATTAATAATGTAAACAGAAGCATCTATGCATGCAGTACAGGGACGCTAAATAATCCCTGTCCAGCAATGGTTATACCTAGTGAGCCAGCTGGAGCTGCTGTAAAGCACTCTGAGCCACTGAGGTCACTTCTGGCTACAGTAAAAAGGATGAAGGAAGAAAGTACTGTACTGAACAAGTTACTGAAACAAATGATCTTCCCTCCTACAATTGATGGTGCTGCTTCACAGGGCATCAGCCATTATATGTATATATGTATGCACGAGTGAGAGTTTGGAAGGATAATCCCAAGAATAGAATTTCTTGCTGAGAAAGAGTGTGTACTTGTCTTTAGTTATTGAAACAGCTATTTTGTCAAGCAAATGGGTGGTTAGGCAGTTGAGTTCAGATCCAATCCCTTTCTTCATTTATATAGTTTCTTGGGCAAGTTACTTGTCTTTTAGCTTCACCTGTTTTCCTTGTGGGCCATGTTCACCACAGCAGCTGACTTCCGAATGGGCACATCCTTCCCTTCCTCACAATTATTTTGTGACTGTTCCCACTGTCTCAGTATATCAGTCCAAAATGTATGGGGACCCCTGCCTACCTTAGTACTAATTTCTGAGACACCTAATAAAACTGACTGTGAAGATTCAGGACTGACAAAAACAGTTTACAGTATATCCATATAATGCAACGACTTCACTGCCACTATGTGGTGATGGCAATTTAAATCAGCCACAATATACAGTAAGAAAAATTGGTGACCACAACTACACCTTGTGACAAACTAACGGTGAAGTTTCAGGACTGTCAAAAACAGTTTACAGTATACCCATCTAATGCAACAACTTCACTGCTGCCACTATGTAGTGATGGCAATTTAAATCAGCCACACTATACAGTAAGAGAAATTGGTGACCACAACTACACCTTGTGACTGTAAATTCAATAAATAATTATGCCCCGAGCACAGAAACTGTCATGAATCTAACGGTGAAGTTTCAGGACTGTCAAAAACAGTTTACAGTATACCCATCTAATGCAACAACTTCACTGCTGCCACTATGTAGTGATGGCAATTTAAATCAGCCACACTATACAGTAAGAGAAATTGGTGACCACAACTACACCTTGTGACTGTAAATTCAATAAATAATTATGCCCCGAGCACAGAAACTGTCATGAATCTACCATTACCGTTTCACTGAATGACCCTTGGCTATAGTTTATACCCATCTAATGCAACAACTTCACTGCTGCCACTATGTAGTGATGGCAATTTAAATCAGCCACACTATACAGTAAGAGAAATTGGTGACCACAACTACACCTTGTGACTGTAAATTCAATAAATAATTATGCCCCGAGCACAGAAACTGTCATGAATCTACCATTACCGTTTCACTGAATGACCCTTGGCTATAGTTTCATGACAGATGAGTACAGAAACTGTTGTTTGTCATGAATCTACCATTACTGTTTCACTGAATGACCCTTGGCTATAGTTTCATGACAGATGAAGAAAACTTCCTAACTACTATTCCTACATCCTACAAGCCTGATACACTGCTTAACATAACCTCCACAGGTTGTCATCTCCGTGTACAAGTGATGCCCTAGTCCCAGGTCTTTTGGGTCTTTCTTTTCTGCAGTGTTCCATCTCTAAACAGTCTAATGTGGCAACCAGAATTATGCAGAGTACTCTAAATATGGTCCCACTGTGTTTTTTATATAAAGCAGGAACAGTTCTTGGTCTGTGCAAGGGGCACCTCACCCATATATTCAGGAGTAGGATGCTGCTCTTGTTCTAGGCACCATCTACACCATCTCTCTAGGTATTAAGATAGTCACATCTGTATCTCTGATATTTTCCATAGTGAGATTTAGCATAGATTTTACCCTTTTCTTCAGCTCCCACACATTAGGTTGATATTTACCTAATATGCATAAAAGATCCAGCCACATCATCAATAAGCAAAGAAGGAAGCACGATTCCTTTTATTTTTACTTCAGAAAAGGTTACTGTAAGAGATTCTTTTAACAGAATGTCACTGTTGTTTATTTAGCTCAGTCACTGCTCATTAATTCTTTTCAAACAAAATGAAATAGTTTTTTTAGTAAAGCAAGGCATCACATGTATCGTTGTTGTATTTCCCCTCAGTAGGATCCAGCCTAAAATGTGCTTTGGTGCTGACCAGTTTATAAAACACAGACGCCATAGTTGACCATAGTCATCCAGGTACATTTCAAAAGCCTTCTGCTGAGTCAGAGTTTCTTCACGCTTCCACTGCTGAGACATGACAACTGACTCCTCTTATTTCAGGAGAACTTCCCTGCTTGAGGTGGTGGGCCAAGGAATCCTCCAGCCTGCTTGGTGGCAGCTCGTGAAGGAGCCAGACCCAACAGCTTCTGGATATTCTGATAAGGAAGCAGACATAAGAACTAAGTTTGGGATTTGGAGAAATCTAGTTTACTTAAGTTAAAATAGTGAAGACCTACTTATAAAGCAGATTCATCAGCCTCAACAAACTGCTACTCTTTGGTTTATAACTGCTAGATTAGGAAGACTAGCAGTAAACAGCGGACCCTAAAATACAGAGAATCCTTTCTACTACTTTCACTACTCTGTTTATGAGAAAAAATGTATATCATTAAGTGACCATGAATCTTCTATCTTAATGATGGAAAGGGGGAAAAATGAGAGGCTCAAACTTCAGCACTCAAATCAAGTTTTGAAGCTTTTGCAATTAAAACTTAAAACTATTTAAAACTAAATTCCCACATAAGTATGTAACCTACAGTTCTGTCAGAATTGGGATATTGATAACTCCAATAGAAAATTCACTCGAGCAAGATTCCTCCTTCAAAAGCTGATGGATACAATGGAAATATAACTTTAGCTATCTAATCTCATTTAGGTATAATGCCTCTCCAAACAAACTGAGCAATGCCCACAAATAACAGCTCAAGACAGCTAATCTCTGATGCTTCGGGAAGCAAATATGGCAAATTATAGTGGAAAGGTTTAAAACAATTTAACAATTGAAAAAGAGAAAAAATATAATGCCTTAATTTCACTTGTTATTCCCAACTAAAGTAGATCCATTAACTCATTGGATCACATTCACTTACCAGCTTTGCACTCATTTAATGTGTATACTTTATTTGGGACCAACATCTGGATTTAGGACAATCATCGGACGTGTTATAGCTCAAAGAGAACTCTTGTTCCATGGTTGAGTACATGATTCCATATGGATGGTATCTATCCCTATACTGGGATTCAGAAATCTCAGAAAAGGCCTTGTCAGCTTGTCTATAGCACTATATAGCACATAAAGGCATTGCATTGCTCAAAATTCCAAGGAGAGAGCCTTCATAACCTGCATGGTTATCTTGCTATTATTCTTCAATAATTCTAATTGTAACTAACTCCACAACTGCTTTGTAATGAAAGTTCCTTGTAAAATGCAATTCTGCAAAGCTTGAACATCAATAAAACGAATAAACAGGACATATTTATGTAAGGTTAGAAAATATGCTTAATTTGCATCTGCTTATTGACATACTTTCATTTTCACATCACAAATTATACAAGACTAGAATAAACTGTCACTGCCTACAGTTTCTCATAAGCTGCTGCTTCATATTCACAAAGGGGATTTAATCAGACCTGCAGTTGCATTGTGCCAGGTTTATTTCACTGACTTTTTCATCAATGTCCAGAAGAAATATTTTCAGCAACATTCCCTGATTTTTACATTCCTAAATGTTAGCAAGAGCCTTGGATATCCTGTCAAGCCAAACAGGAAAGATTTATGCAGAACAATTCCCAGGGCTCACAGGCACTTTAAGAAAAATTAGATTAGATGCAAGCCAGCACTCTAGAGACAATTGTATAGTTTACTGAGATACTGAAAACAGTTTGCCCTAAGGAAATGTGGATTCAAGCCACTATCTCTCATTCTAAATTTTTATTCACAGGAGAGTTATGAAGGTAAAATGGGATAGCACCCTCCCCAGCATACATACACTGCCTTAGAGGAACTTCCTCCTTGCAGTCTGTCGGAAGGGCGATATTAAAAAGCTGGCACAGTGTCGGGTTATTTGTAAGCAAATATGAGCTTTTTATCTTTTGATCTCCATGTCCTGGAGTATGGACTCAAAAGATACTAATAAAAACAATGTTTTTCAAAAGACAGGCAGGTCTATATAAAGTCTCACCCCAAAGTAGGATGCATGGAATTTAAGTTCTGGCCTTCAAATATCTGGTCATGCAACTGTGGAATGCCTTCTCTGTGATTCAAGCATACAAATCATATGTCCAAATTTTTGTATTATGCCTTTCAGACTAAAATCCTATACACATGTACATGACCCAGTGCAGCATACTTGAGAAGACATGCACAGAATTTTGCTGTAAGTTATGCAAAGGTTGTATTCACGTGCATGTCAGCATCTTCATTTTGTGAAAAAAGCTGGAATGTATGCTTGCTTTGGAAATGGATGGATTTAAAAGCTGAAATTCTAAAGTAGGGTTGTTAAATGGATTGTTGTGCCTTATGGGTTTGAATGTGTTTTGGTGTTTTTGTTTCCCATGCTACAGTGTAGTATTTGACCCTTTCTAGTATTTGCATTCTTACTACTTTTAAGTTCAAATATAGTCTTTTAAGGATGTAAGCTGCTGGTTGTTGTGGGTTTTTCGAGCTTTTTAGCCGTGTTCTGAAGGTTGTTCTTTCGAACGTTTCGCCAGTCTCTGTGGCTGGCATCTTCAGAGGACAGAGCCCGAAAAACCCACAACAACCATTAGATCCCGGCCGTGAAAGCCTTTGCGAATACGATGTAAGCTGCCTTGGGTCCTTTTAAAATATATTTTAAATAAATAAATAATAAACAAAAACAAATAAAGTAAATCTTTCTATCAGAACAATAATCTCAATTATGAGAGTGTGAATGGGAAAAATCTGCATACGGAAACATTTAATTTGACAAGCTATAGACTGCATGGGGTGACAAAGGGACAGGATGTAGATCTTCACACAACTGATGTCTCAGTTGGGGTTTCTCAGCCTCTTAAGGGCCCTTGAAGACTTGTCTACGCAGCACTTCACACCCTCAACAGGAAGACAGGAAGAACTCTTAAGACAGGACTGACGTGCCAAAGGGAGATGGAAACAGCCCAAAGGAAGCTGCTCATTGTAGGAGATATTTCAGGCAACATCAGACTTGAGTCAGAAGTGAGTGGTATCCATGTCAAGGCTCATAGCAGTTCCTAAAATCGAAATATCCAAGGCCAAATTAACCAAGAGATAACTGGTTCACTTATCAGGGATGTTATCAGACCTCAAATGTGCCTCCCTGAAGTGTGAAGTAGTCAAGTATCTGTTTTCCCTCTTCCAAGCAAACAGGAGGGGTGGGGAAAACTCAAGAAAAACAGTTGTTATACAGCACTGTCCCTCCAATGTACTCCCACTAGCTATCTACTCCAAAGTTTGTTCCAAGTAGGGCTTATAAAGTTTCTGCTATCCTATACCTGCCTCACAATTAAATTGTTTCCTAACTGCAGGTATGTCAACAACATACCCAATTTTTTCTTAAAGGGGAAAAAACATCTGTTATGCAATTTTCCCCTGCAGTACCAGCATAAAAACATGAAGGGCTGATGCCCATGATTTAAGACTAAATCTTAATGAGGCTGTGAAAAGGATAGTGTATCTGTAGCCATCTGGACACTGCACTGCAACTCCTGTCACTCTGTTTATTGGTCATGCTGGCTGATGGGAGATGAAAGTCCGCCATAAGTACAATAAAGGACAACAGGATGCTCACTCTTAAGCTATACCTAAAACATGCCTAGCACATTTCTATCGAGCATCTTTTTGAAAATCTCTAAGGAAGAAAACTCGGGAACTTCCACGGGCAACATAACATATTCTGTTGGGAGCTTGCTGGTAGGATTAGATTTTTAAAAGCCTTTAGGGAGGGGAAAAAAGGGAAGATACTGCAGTAAAAGTTGTCCTAGCCATTGCAGAGGAAGGAAGCTAGCTGTTTTGGTCATTCTCCCTTCCAGACCATCTTGTAACTGATGGAAGTCTGGCTACACTGATAATAGCCAATGTAAGATTTAATCTGGGATGTGCAAGCCAAGTTAACATATATTGTGGAGTTATAAATGGATTATGCTGATTTTTTTTCTCCTAGCTCCCTGCCAGGGTTCTGCGTACAGTAGCAAGAAAGATCCAAGGAATGGAAAAGTGTATTCACAGAGATCCATCATTAATCTATCTAGCTTTCCAGGTGCCCCACCCAGTAATCTACTAGTTTCAACTCTATATAAATTAAGGTAGGAGTTTAGGAGTTTAGCTACTTGTCCTTGTCCTCCGCTCTTCCTCAGTAGCATGTTGGACACTTTCTGAACTGAGGGGCTCATCTTTCAGCATCATATCTTTTAGTTTTTTGTTTCTGCCATTGAGTTTTCTTGGCAAAGATACTGGAGTGGCTTGCCAGTTGCTGCTCCAGGTGGATCACGTTTAGTCAAAACTCTCCACTATGACCTGTCCGTCTTAGGTGGCCCTGCACGGCATAGCCCATAGACTCTCTGAATTACTCAAGCCCCTTCGCTAAGACAAGGTAGCAATCCATGAAGGGGAAGGTTATGCATTGATGACCTCCAAAATATCCTGTTGCCAAATGTTATGACACACTCAATTCTTCTAGAACAATCCATTGCCTTTGATCATCCACATAGTCAAAGGATTATGTATAAAATACAAACCATTTTTCCTCTGAAATCCTCTGGTACAATCCAGTAGCCAATGTATGAGTCTGACCTTTACTGCCTCTTCAATTTCTGAATTCCACTTGAACATCCAGTGTTTCTCATTCCATATTTGGTAAGAGTATTTGTCATAAAATTTGGAGCATCCCTTTATTTGCATGTGACATTAATTTGATAGTCTTATAGTTAAGAATCTTCACTGCTATCTTTGGCTATCTTTCTTTCTTTGGGTTCAGGATATATAGATTGCTTCTAGTCTCTAGGCCATTGTTTTGTCCTCTATATTTATTCACATATCTTTTTGAGACTGTAACATATACAATTTCTTCAGCTTGGAATAGCTCTATTGCTATCCCATCCATTCTTCATCAAATGATTCTTTGACAAAACCCATAATTCAGAATATTGTTTCCATCTTCTCTTTATTTCATCCTGATCAGATAATGCACTCTACATTGAACTTTCAGCATCTCTGATCTTGTTTTAGATTTCCCATTAATTTCTTAGATCTTATGTGAGATGTTTTCTTTCCCTTTTTAATTGTTTCTTTTCAATGATTATTTGAACAGCTCTCTATCTACCATTGCTGAAAAATTGCATTTGGGATTCTAATCTGTCCTCTTTCACTTTGCTTGTTGTCTGTTGTTAACAACTGAGTTTCTCCAGTCACTCCAGAAACCAAATCAAAATTTGATTTTTTTTTATTTACTGTATTTTTCGCTCCATAAGATACACTTTCCACCCAAAAAAACGTTGGGGGTAAAGTGTATGCATCTTATAGAGCGAAATTGTCACATTCAGGGACTCTTTTAAGGCTTGGGAAGCTTCAGAAGAGTCCCTGAAGGTGGCGATTTCGCCCCCTCTGGTCCCATGGGGGGGCAGGGTAAGCCTCCAAAGGATCCTGGAACACACCCTAGGATCCTTTGGAGGCTCACCCAGCCTTCCCACGGGGTCAAAGGGGGCAAAATCGCCACCTTCTGAGACTCTTTTAAGGCTTGGGAAGCTTCAGAAGAGTCCCTGAAGGTGGCGATTTCGCTCCCTCTGGCCCTGTGGTGGTGGTGGGGCTGGGTGAGCCTCCAAAGGGTTCTAGGGTGTGTTCCGTAAGATGGACCTCTCCATAAGACTCACCAAATTTTTAGAAGAAAACAGGAAAAAATCTGGGAATTTCAGCCTGCTGGGCCAGCGGGGGTGAGGGTGGGGGAAGCCTCCAAAGGGTCCGAGAGTGCCTTCCAGGACCCTTCAGAAGGGTCTTCAGAAGGACCCCTCTGAAGGGTCCTGGAATTGGGCCCTTTGGAGGCTTCCCCCACCCTCACACCCACTGGCCCAGCAGGCCAAAATTCCCAGATTATTTTTCCTGTTTTCTTCTCCTCAAAATGTGGTGTGTCTTATGGAGCGAAAAATATTTAAATAGATTTTTTAAAAAAAACATTGATTTTATCCACCCTGCTCCGGTTTATATATACAGTATTCATGGTTATGGTGACAGCAGCAAGTGAACAGAGCAAGTGAACAGATACAGATGAGCTTTCAATGTGGCAACAACATTATGTTCAAAATGTTGATTATGTAAGCATCTTGGTCACCAATAGAGTGATGTGTTATATGCCCTAATGCATATAAACTGATGACTAAATAGTATACTTATCTTTCTGAGGACATGGATTATAAACTACAAAAGCTTATGCTGAAACATGTCTGCCTATATTAAGATAATACAGAAATATATGATTCTAAGTTGAGGGAGAGCACCTCCCTTGTCTTCACATCAGCATCCATGTCTCTGTAGAGCTCTGAAGATTTGTGCACATGGTGGCTGTGTCCTGCAAAAGCAAAAGTTTTAAATAAATCGGTGTAGCACTCACCTGCCGAATAGACATGGTGCAGAGAATGTAGAGGAAGATGAAGGAACAATCTGTGTAATCTTCACCTAGAAGATTACGATGGGACAAGCCTTGGATGTAGGAAAGTGGTACAAAGGGGAGTTTTGCAACCACTCGGCCATCAAATCTGGGAAAAGGAAATGGAAGCCCCTGGTTATTGGTGTATGGCAACGGCCCAGCCTTATCTCCACATAAGGCACCAGCTTGCTGGCTTGTTTATTATATTTCTGTACTGTCCAGCAACTAAAGATCTGGCTGGTTTACAGAACAGTTAAAATCCCTATATATAAAAGCAGATGATGCAACACAGAAACCAGCAACAAGTGTGACAAAAAAAAAACTTAACATAAAAACCAACAGGAATGCTAACATCGAAAAAGCATGAACATCTCTGTGGAAGATATTCCATAAGTGGGGTGCCTTTCCTGCTTCACCTCATTTGGCAGAAGCACCCAAAGAAGGGGCTCTGAAGATGATTGTATACTCTGGATAGGCATATATAGAAAGACGCAATCTTTCAGCTAGAGCATTTCACCTCAGATCACCAAGAAGACATTAAACAAAGAAAATTCATTTCTAGGTATATGCTGTAGTGTACCAGTTTCACAGCACATTAATGGCCCCTCAACAGTTAAGCTTCTTGCCACTGACTATGTATCTATAGTATGTGTAATACACTATGCATTTGGTTCAAAAGAAAGCTAAATCCTTAAAACATCCATTATTTCTTTGACTATTACAGCCTAGAATAATTTTAAAAATACATTTTCAGCCCATCACAGACATTTTATCCACTGTCATAACAACCCTCTGAGGTATGTTATGTTCCTATTCTGCCTATTTTGGAGATTAAAAATTGACTTGACCATGACTTGGACCTGAAGTCAGATATCTTGGGTCCTATGGAGATAATCATCACTTATGTCAAGTAACACTAACAGAATAATAGCACGTACAGAAAATTAAGGGACTAACATCTGAGCTATGGAAGATATCCATATATTTGAAAGAATATTATGTGTTGCCAAATGGAAAAATTTGGTTACTGCTGCAAAGGAGAAAAGAACCTGTACATTCCACGTTCCTGGCAGATGTAGAAGTGAATGATGCTCTTTAACTAAAACTACTGTGGGAATAAATGTGAACTGGATTTAGACCTGGGCTAAACACTTTCCAAATGCACCTCTTATTTTGCATAGTTGTATTTCCTCTCATCTTGCTCAATTTTAGCAGGTGTTTCTGGTACAACAAACTCTTAAATGAGTGTTTCTTCCTGCAGATAAACAAAGTCAAGGAGCTACATCTTCGAACAAGTGCCAACGCTGCAGATAGCCAAGGCATTTTGGCAGACTGGCTAGGAACGGATGTTTGCCTCCCTTTGATAGCTTCCCCCGATCTATGGTGTGATATTCTACGTGGTTCCTGCCTCCTCTTCTGGCCATTACTAAAAAAAGAAAAGTGAGCAGGAAGTGTTACAACGCACAGGCCTTATGTCTTTGACACAGCTATGGACACAAACTAAATGCAGGAATGTTGATGATTAAAAGAATCAGTGAGGAATCCACTAACTTTCTCTTGTCTGACATAAAAAACCAAACCATCAAAATGAAAATGACCAAGCAGATCACACTGTGAATCCTCATTAAAACCCACTTTTTCAGTACAGCAAACAAGTTCTGTCTAGTAGACCTAGAATTAGTTTACAGGAGAAGTAAGTGGGTAAAACAATAACCAGTTACATTTTCAACAGGGAGCCATGATAAGTACTGTAACCAGTACTGTCAGGCTGTCATGGAAATGGATATTCTCATCATGAGGTATTTTAGGGAACAGAATTAAGCAAGACAAACTACAGTCTATACACAAAAATGACTGCTTCATGTTGTATCATAACAAGCAATAATGAACAGTTTACCACACAGTGCTACTGGCCCATCTCTCTCTCTCATGCGACTCCATTCCTCCCCCCCCCCCGGCACGGGGTTCTGTTGCAACCAGAACCAAAGGGGCTGCGCAGAGGAGGAAAGCTTCATGGAGGGAGGCAGAGTCGTGCACGCACAGCCACGCACCTTAGATACTTGACTATGTGCCATCAAGTCAATTCTGACTTAAAGCGACCCTTTTCAGGGTTTCGTAGATAAGAGTGCTCAGAACTGGTTTACCATTTCTTTTTTCTGGGGGCACCATGGGAATGTGTAGCTTGCCCAAGGCTATACAGGCTGGCTCTTCTGGAAGGTACAGCCAGATAACTTAAACCAATGAGCTATCCAGTCAGCTTCAATTTTAAAGAGATACAATATTTCTTTTTCTTTTGCAAACATCCTAATCATGTAACTTCCTTTCAGCATCACCCATTTCAAAGGATTGTTAGGATGACATATGACAATGGCAAAGTATGCTCTGTATTGTGAACAATGACTGCAACAAGCAGTAAGCATACAGTTATCTATTGCTGGAGTGTGAGGAGCGCCTACAAAATTTCTATTAGAACAGTAACACTGTCTGGCTTCAATGCTGCTATATGTTCAAGGCTTATTGTCACAACAAAAGACTGATATTCATTGAAAAAATATAAATATGAATTCAACATCCTGTGGAAAACCTCTGGTAGAGTCCCCAAAAGTAATATCTGAAATCAAAGATCAAGTGCAAATATTAACATGGACATGCAGATATACCTCATTTAGTGTTATTTGTAGCTGTCACAGCAATAATCAACAAACCCATATATTGCATATTACATTGTCCATAACGGATTATTTGTACAAGTGTAGTACTATCTATGCCAGCACAATTGCTTTTATGCTGTACAGTTCTCCATCAAGTCCAGTTAGAAACAGTAAACACGAAAGAACAAATAACATAGTTTTAGTAACAGTTTTTAAATTAATGTGATGTAGCCACTTACATGGAATTGAACATTCCCATCAGAGCGGTGAAACAAAAACCAATTGCAAACATGGATTTCATACGGACCTGCAATGAAAAGAGTAAGTGAGGACCCTTATTAACATTTCAAATACTGTATGAGAAGGAAATGTCACAAACAAAAAGAGAAGAATGGAGAATGGGGCTCTCCTTGTTTAGAACAGTCTTTCCCCACTCTTACTGCAAAATTGGTTGTGAGAGTGGGCACATGATTAAAAGAATCCCATTCCAGAGCAACCTGCAAACTTCTTTCTGCAACATATTTTGGGCTACAGCTTCTTGAAGAATTCAATCCAAAACATTTGAAGAGCATCTCATTGGAGGAAGGATGTTCTATGGGGTTCAGCAGGAATATAACTATTCTCCACTTCCTCATGCCAACATGTTCCCAATCTAAGTGAAGCAGGTTAGAAGTCTATTTATCCATTTATTACACTTCTCCAATATCCATCAGCTCTTTGGCTAGTTCAACTTTTTTTTTTAAACTGCAGAAAAGCAAAGTGTGTTGCTTACATACCGCCCCATAGTGCTTAAAGTACACTCTGGGCAGTTGATAGTTTAATTATGCAGGCTACACGTTGCCACCTCTTGTGAGCTGGGTACTCAATTTACCGACCTCATATGGATGAAAGGCTGAGTCTGCCTTGAGCCAGCTCTTTGAGCCTGTCATGATCAATTGGAGAACGGGGCTCTCCTTGTTTAGAACAGTTTTTCCCCACTCTTACTGCAAAATTGATTGCGAGAGTGGGCACATACCAGTACAGACATTTATTACTAGGGTCACACCATCTGCAGAGTTTTGACTGCAGTAACACAGTTTAACTACTGTATCACAAGAACAAAGAACACAAAAGAGAAAACAAAACAAAACATGGTGTCTAAAAGAGACACAGAATAAAATAAAGTCTCCTCCTGATTCCGAAAAAGAAAACAGTGCCAATTGATCCTGTCTGGAGAGGGCACTCCACAATGATGGGGTGCCACCACTGGAAAGAATTTCACTCTTGTAATTACCCACCATAAATTCATTCTGGAGTCAGCTAGAAAAAGGCCTCACAATATGGCATCAAGGTACAGATAGGTATATGTGGGAGGAAATGCTCATTTAGATAACTTGTAAACTAAGTAAGCCTTAGTTTAACACCAGCACTTGGGTCCAGAAATGAAGTAGCAACCAGAGTGGGCAGCACAGCATTGGCTCATTAAAACTGAATCTTCAATCCTAGCTGACATTTCTCTTGTCCTATTTTGAACTAAGGAAAGCTTCTGAATAGGGAGAATTGGAGACTATCCGCTTTGCTTTGGTCTAAATGTGCCCATAGCTGCCCAGACTTCAGATAAATTCAATGAATAATGTTAGCTGACAGTGGTAAGAGCAATAGGTGTGTGTTGGGAATTATTTTTAGTTTTACAGGACAGTTGCTTTAAGTGCTGTGTTCCCAGAGATGGTGAAATGTGGTCACTTTTTCTGTGCTGTTGATGTATGCAGGCACACTATACTGCTTTTTCAAGCAAGTTGTCCCAATGACTCCTATTCAGGAATTACAGTGGTGCCTCGCACGACGAGCGCCCCGTAGAGCGATGAATTCGCTCTACGAGGACGCTCTTGCGATCGCTAATGCGATTGCACAGCGATGGCCCCAACAGGCGAAAATCGCAGAATGAAGGTCGGTAAGCTGCTCGCTTTGCGACCCGCCGATCAGCTGTTCCGCGGCTTCAAAATGGCCGCCGGAACAGCCGAAAGGGCCGGGTGCAGCGTTTTCGCGCCCTTGGTAAGCAAGGGGAGGGCGCGAAAACGCTGCTGGAACAGCCGAAATGGCTGCGCGCAGCATTTTCGCGCCCTCCCCTCGCTTACCAAGGGCGCGAAAACGCTGCGGCCGGCCATTTCGGCTGTTCCGGTGCAAACATCTTAATCATGTCACTTCCTTTCAGCATCACCCATTTCAAAGGATTGTTAGGATGACATATGACAATGGCAAAGTATGCTCTGTATTGTGAACAATGACTGCAACAAGCAGTAAGCATACAGTTATCTATTACTGGAGTGTGATGAGCGCCTACAAAATTTCTATTAGAACAGTAACACTGTCTGGCTTCAATGCTGCTATATGTTCAAGGCTTATTGTCACAACAAAAGACTGATATTCATTGAAAAAATATAAATATGAATTCAACATCCTGTGGAAAACCTCTGGTAGAGTCCCCAAAAGTAATATCTGAAATCAAAGATCAAGTACAAACATTAACATGGACATGCAGATATCTCACTGTGTTATTTGTAACTATCACAGCAATAATCAACAAACCCATATACTGTATTGCATATTATTACATTGCCTATAATTGATTATTTGTACAAGTGTAGTATTATCTATGCCAGCACAATTGCTTTTATGCTATACAGTTCTCTATCAAGTCCAGTTAGAAACAGTAAACACAAAAGAACAAATAATATAGTTTTAGTAACAGTTTTTAAAATAATGTGACGTAGCCACTTACATGGAATTGAACATTCCCATCAGAGCAGTGAAACAAAAACCAATTGCAAACATGGATTTCATACGGACCTGCAATGAAAAGAGTAAGTGAGGACCCTTATTAACATTTCATTAACATTTCAAAAATGTTAAGGAAATGTCACAAACAAAAAGAGAAAAATGGAGAATGGGACTCTCCTTGTTTAGAATACTCTTTCCCCACTCTTGCTGCAAAATTGGTTGTGAGAGTGGGCACATACAAGTACAGGTCACACCATCTGAAGCTATCATCGAACCCTGTCTGATGAAGTAGAGCTGCTACACATTTCTGGCTAAAACAATTCCCACTCCAGAGCAACCTGTAAACTTTCTGCAACATATTTTGGGCTACAGCTTCTTGAAGAATTCAGTCCAAAACATTTGAAGGGCATCACATTGGAGGAAGGATGCTCTATGGGGTTTAGCAGGAATATAACTACTCTCCATTTCCACATGCCAACATGTTCCCAATCTAAGTGAAGCAGGTTAGAAGTCTATTTATCCATTTACTACACTTCTCCAATACTCATCAGCTCTTTGGCTAGTTCAACGTTTTTTAAAATTGCAGAAAAGAAAAGTGTGTTGTTTATATACCGCCCCATAGTGCTTAAAGCACACTCTGGGCAGTTTGTAGTTTAATTATGCAGGCTAAACGGTGCCACCTCTTGTGAGCTGGGTACTCAATTTACCGACCTCAAAAGGATGAAAGCTGAGTCTACCTTGAGCCTCACACCAACAATTGGAGAACAGGGCTCTCCTTGTTTAGAACAGTCTTTCCCCACTCTTACTGCAAAATTGGTTGTGAGAGTGGGCACATACAAGTACAGACACTTATTACTTGAGTCACACCATCTGCAGAGTTTTGACTGCAGTAACACAGTTTAACTACTGTATCACAAGAACAAAGAACACAAAAGAGAAAACAAAACAAAACATGGTGTCTAAAAGAGACACAGAATAAAATCACTAGGAGAAGACAACAGCAGCACAAGGATCTAAAAAACAATAAAGAATGGGAGGACTAAACAACCCAGGAGTCTAGAAGTCTCCTCCTGATCCTGAAAAAGAAAACAGTGCCAATTGATCCTGTCTGGAGAGGGCACTCCACAATGATGGGGTGCCACCACTGGAAAGAACTTCACTCTTGTAACTACCCACCATAAATTCATTCTGGAGTCAGCTAGAGAAAGGCCTCACAAGATGGCATCAAGGTACAGATAGGTATATATGGGAGGAAATGCTCATTTAGATAACTTGTCCACAAGGCAACTAAGCCTTAATTTAACACCAGCACTTGGGTCCAGAAATGAAGTAGCAACCAGAGTGGGCAGCACAGCACTGGCTCATTAAAACTGAATCTTCAATCCTAGCTGACGTTTTTGTTGTCCTATTTTGGACTAAGGGAAGCTTCTGGATAGGGAGAACTGGAGACTATCTGCTTTGCTTTGGTATGAATGTACCCATAGCTGCCCAGACTTTAGCCAAATCCAATGCATAACGTTAGCTGACAGTGGTAAGAGCAACAGGTGTGTGGTGGGAACCATTTTTAGTTTTACAGGATGGTTGTTTTAAGTGCTGTGTTCCCAGAGATGGTGGAATGTGGTCACTTTTTCTGTGCTATGATGTATGCAGGCACATTATACTGCTTTTTCAAGCAAGTTGTCCCAATGACTCCTATTCAGGAATTACTGAGTGTGTAGTGCCTTCTCACCATTGACAGGTCTCTGTTGTTGTTTTTTAGTTTTTCCTCTTGCCTCTCTGAAAAACAGTAAGAAATAAGTTACTGCAGGTCACAGGGTCAGGCATTCACTTCCAACAAGGCTGTAAGGAACTAACACTATGCATTCTATAACTGGAAAAACAGCCTATGAACGACATTCCTGGTGTAACCGAAAAGCATATTGGAAGATTGAAGTATAGCTTAGCATAAACATGCCAAGATTAACAACTCATTACAGGTATTGTGACAAGGAGAAAGGAGAAAACAACAGTCTCCTTCTTTCCCAACACTTTGTGCAGGCAGTGGAAAGTATTTTTACCCCTCAAAATTAAACACACACACACACACACACACAACACACACACACACACACACACACACACACACACACACACACACACACAGAGTCTCAGAACAAAATATGTAAATATTGCAATCTATATAAAATTAAATGTGACTGCAATATTCTTGCACAATAACTACATAGAATTCTAAGATCATTACAAGATTATTATTATAATTCCAACTCGGAGGAAAGGAACTCAGTTGTTACTCTTCAATCTCAGGAACAATGGTATTATTTATTTTATTTAGCACAGTAAGTTGCAGCTAAGGTAGACCCACTAAACCAATGAGGATTTGGTATGTCCACTACTCTGTAAGTTTCAGTGATTTAATGGGCCTACTCTAGTTGTGACTTAATACACTAAGTAATAGGATTTCAGCCATTATTTTTATCCTTAAAACTGGTATATGTGGCTTCTAAATAAAATGTACTATTCTTACATATTTTTGTATATGACATAGTTACAGCCGTCATCCTTACTGCCTGGCTTAAAGTTGCACAGCAAGATTTCAGCAAATGAATGCAAGAAACTTCATTTAGCAAACATGAAAGATTTAATTTTTCAGAAAGCCAACTTCAATAATTAACACAAAAATGCATATTTTAGAGCAGGAATTACAGTTGGACCACTCCCCACAACTCCTTATGAAACTATCTTTAAAAAAATAATAACTCCTTAGAAAGCTACATATACTTCCAAACTTTACCTATTTTCTTTTTCTGCTGTCGGCCAGCTGATTCTGTAATTGTTTCCTTCTTTTTCTCCACTGCAGAGATTAGACAACACTGTGAGTCGTTCTCATAAAGAATATAACTCCCTGTTACTTTCTCCTAGGTCACAACAAATACCTACAGCAAAATAAATAGGTAGGGCAAGAGCTCAACAGTAAAATAAAGTGGAATATTTTTGGCCAAAGTTATAGTAGCAAAAGTGTTAAAAGAAAAAAAAATACTATCAGTATGAGTCTATTGCAACAAGAATTTGAGGAAGTACAATACGCCGTATTAAAGAACGAGAACCCAATTTCCTCAACTTACTACTTCAATTTCTTCTTTGTTTATCTTTTTTCTTTATGTTCATGTGTTAACGTACCTACCAATTTAGGATACTATTTCATTCAAGAAATGTACTCTAGTCCACAATACATTTGATTTAAAGCAACACAAAATCCTCTGCACCAAACTCTCATTATAACTAAGACACCTCTGTTCTGAACTAAAGAATACAAATAGCATCCTTGAATCTACTACTGTCAAATACAAAAGGCTGGCTAGCTCTTTTCTGGTCAGAGAGAAACCCAAATTATTGGTTTGGAGTGCTTTCAGTGCTGTCTAGTTTGGTCCACAGAGATCAGTTTAAAAAAAAAACATTAACTGCAATTTACAGTATAGACAAGCAGGATTCCCTTGCAATAGGAAAAAAGCTGATGTCTCTACTCCCAACTTCAACGTGTATTACTTTAGTTTAGCCAGAGCATTACAAATTGCTCTTTATCACTATCACTGCTGAAGTACCATCTGATCAGAAAATCACATGCTTTCTTTTTATATCAAATGCAAAGTGTATTGTAGCCTTATAGCATAATTCAGGAATAACCTTTTCTAAGAAAAAGCAAATAGAGAAAGAAATTTGCTAATCTACCTTTACTGAAATAGGTCTTTGCAAATACAATTGCATTTTGGTTTTGGTTTTCAAAAATTAAAACAGATGCAGTCTATTAGCTGTTTTTCACAAATACGACTGTATAAAATATATTCTGTCTTTTGAAAGAGGATATTTGCTCTGTTACCCAACCCCAACACAGTCCTGTTCACAACATTCTCCTGTTTTTCAGTCTGTTTTCTCAAATATGACCATTAGGATTATATGGTTAAATATATTTTCAAAACATACGGTAAATGCCATACATTAAAAAAAACATATTTAAAAATAAACACATTACACATAAAATTATCAGTCTTATCCAGCTATTTTTTCCCTGCACTGTCTTTTGACAAAATATTCTTGCTTTCCTGTATCATGTGAAATTCACAAGACAAAGGCTCATCCCAAATATCCATGGGATTTTACAACTGATAGTCCTGGGTGGGTTCTCTCAAAGCTATGGAATGGTGAGATGGAAAGGGCTACTGATAAAACTGCTCCCAGACAAACCCTCTGACACTGGGTTCAACACATTAGATGCAAACTCAACCCTTACTGCCTTAGCTGCTAAGAGCTGGCTTAGTTCAGGCCAGAGGGGCAAACCATCTCATTATGTCAGAAGGTGGTGCCTGTTGCTTTCTTGGGCAAGAAGCTTAAGACTGTAGTGGATGGGCAACTCTGAATGTTCTTGAATGAAATTGATTACCAGGATATATGTCAGTATGATATTAGGCTGGGTTTTGCAAGTGAAATAGCTAAGATGCTTTGGAAGAGAAATGGGGGAATGCTACACAGTTGATTCTCCTAGATCTCCAAATAGCTTTTGATACTTAGCAGAGAAAACAGCAATGGTGTTCTTGTGAGCTTTTAAAGTCACCTTATTGTTCTGCTCTCTAGAATACAGTACTGTGATAAGATTGCTAGGTTTATTTAGAAAAACATTTGATAGAAAAGCCTTTCCTAGACTAGACAGAAGACCATGTCTCAAGGCCTGAGCAACATGGCCCACAGAAAAGGGGTTTAGCCCACTGTCAAGAAAGAGATGTTAACAGCTTAAGGGTTAGAAAGGATTGGGGGACGGGGGAGAGACAGGAGAGGAACAATACGACAGTAAGAGACAGGCAGGGAATGAAATGAATAGCTACAGCCTACTCTTACTTCCTCTACTGGGTATCCATGGGGAGAGGTGATGTTCTGGAAGATTCTTCTAACAGGAACAAGAGAAATGATGCTGCTGTTCTGATCTTCAGGCCTGGCTACAGGGGCAGTGGGGAATTTCTTTTCAGCCTCATAGCTACCAAGCTGTGACAGGGCTCTACCATGCTCTTCAGCATCTCTATGAAGCTGCCAGGTGAGATCATCGGCACTCTTAAGAGCAGCAGTATGCAGATGACATCCAACTCCATTTTTCCTTGTCACCAGAGGCAGGTGAAATCAGCTGCTGCACCGGTGTCTGAATGCTATATTGGGAAGAATGAATTCCGTAATGGGCTGGATGAGAGCCAAAAATCTGAAGCTGAATGCCAGTAAGACACGTTTTAATGGTTCCCATGCCTGTAAACTGGTGGGCAAACTGTTCTAGATGGGACAGCACTCCTTCTGAACATACAGGTGTGTAACGTGTGACTACTTTTGGATCCATCCCTGTAATTAAAGGCCAAGGTGGGCTCAGTGGGTCAGAATGCCCAGGGGCAGCTTCAGCTCATCTGCCAGTTACAATAATTTCTGAAGAGGGGCACCTAGCCTCAGCAGTTTGTGCACTCATAACTTTCTGTTTAGACTATTGCAATGTAGTCTAAGTGAGACTGCCCTTGAAGAGGAAGGCCAACTAGCACAATATGTTGCAGCTAGATTGCTGATAGGAATACCTTACAAAATTTACATCATACCAGTTCTGAGGGAACATCTCTCCTCACATATACCTACTCAATCATGAGCATCTCCTGGAGGCGCTCTCTTTCATTTTCCATAATTGATGTACTATGTACAGATGCAGGAAAGGACATTCTCAGCTGTAATAAACCAGCTATGGAATTTTCTCCCCTAAAAGTGCAACAAGTGTCAAAACTATCTTTATTTTAGCACCAAGTTCAAACCTCTAATTTTCAGCCCTGCTGGGTGGGATTCCACCTCTTGCACATGTGACTTTGCCCCTGTGCATGTGTGCGACTCCACACATGCATGTGAGTCTGCCCCTGCGTGCGGGGGGTTCCATCATCCCCAGAACCAAAGGAGCTGAAAACCTTTGCTGTGCAAAGCTGTGTGGAGGAAGGCAGAGTTGCGTGTGCCTTAGAGGAAACTTTGCTTCCAATACCTCCATGTGCTAGTTTTTGTTCTTTTTGAATTATTGTTTTCAAATATTCAAAATGATTTTAAAGTATTTAAAGTATTTTAGACTATTTAATATGATTTTATAAATTGCATTCCACCAGAACTTTGTTGATATAGGGAGTGTTACAAATACTTTAAGAAAATAAATGACTGAATAAATATCAACAGAGATTGAACTGGGACCATATTATGGACAGAACAGGAATTTCCTCCAGAATCCTTCATAGAATCAGATTTAGAATATACACAGATTTTCAAAAAAATATTTTTATAAGAAGCAGAAGGAAAAATTAGGAAGACGGGGCATTGCATATTACATAAGATTGTTCTACCTCCAGTAAACCAGGAAATAGATTTTAAAATTATTTACTCTGCATGCCTGTTACTGTTCTTATGCATAATATACATAAGAACACATGTTTTAGCACTGTAGTGCCTCAATTTAAGCGTACTGCTTTTTGGCATACTGCTGTGTCCAAACATATTGCTTAACTCTTTAATGCCACTTTAAGTATGCTGTCTCAGAAGGCTTTTTCAAGTTCAGATAAAACATAACATGCAAGAAGCCATGCTGGATCAGATCAAAGACCCATCATGTACAGCACTCTGTTGTCTACAATAGCCAACTAGATGTCTACGAAAAGTCCATAACTATAACACAAGTGCAACAGCATTGCTCTGCTCTTTTCTCTCAATCACTAGTATCAGAGATGCATAGGGCCTCTCATACTAGTCCTATCATGGCGTTCTGTTTTAAACCTTAAGGGAGGTAGGCACATGTGCCCTGCTTCCTCTACTTCAGACCTTCTCTGGTTGTTAGGGAAAACTGTAAAGGAGCTGCAGCCACATTCAAGATAACATGGCTACAGAGATCCATGAGATTAGATGGACTAGTTTATCAAGCAGGTCAGTTCCTTTTCAGACTTTCTTGGCTATGTGGGAAGATCAAGTATTGATGAGGCAAGACTAGAGTACATATTCCCAGCATATTACAATACTACGTCTCACCTTCACAGGTGAAGAATGCAACATATTCCCAGCTCACTGTATATAGTTTCAAAATAAACACTTGAATATGGCTTACAAATATACAGATCACGACTAGTATCCTGTAGCATATGTTAACCAAAAATCTCTGGGACAAGCATCATTATTGTCTATTTGCATTTGAAGACGACATTTACATTTTTTACTCTGTTTCTCCACTTCTGCTTTCAGCCTCTTGTATTTGTCAGTTCTGTAAACCAGGACCCACGTTATACCTGAAACGAATCACACAAGATACAGAATAATCAAGTGTATTGCCAAACCAGAAGTAATATTTTAGAACACATATTTTAAATTGGCAGCCCGCAGAACTAGCTAAAACCATTTTCTAGCCTAGCCATACCCATCTAATATCAGCATGTCCTACCTATAAGGTAAAAGTAGTGATAGGAGCCTATAAGTGATGTAACCTTCAAAGAGAGAAAGAGCATTCATAGTGATTCTCCTATCCTGATTCTTTGTTACTGTTCCATCCAACTAACATGCCTATTCAAACCAAATACATTTGGACTGTTGCAAAATAGTAATATGAGCTTTAAATTACATGAGATCTCCTTTAGACCCTATTTAGTCCAATCCAGCCCATTCCTTCCAAACCATCTAGATAAGCCTTGAAATAAGCCGTCAGTCTTGTACTACAATATTTTGCTTCCCCATCCTTTTTCTTTTCCCTTTTACTTTTCCCAACATGCTTAGACAGACTAACATGGCTACTTCTTTGTACACTGCATCTGATTCAATTCTCGTCATGGTGGATCGCAGGCTGCAAGGAAAGTAGCCCAGGAAAATGAGAGAGTAAAATCTAGTAGGAGGCTGTGTGTGCAACATCACTGCTTCTCCTCCAATTAGAATGCATTAATTCTCTGCACATGCCTCACAGAATATGAATTACAACACTACTTCTTTCACAGGTGAAGAATGCAACACCTGTAATATAACAGAACCGCTGTACTATCCAACAATATAAGAATACAAACACCTCCATGCATCAAACCAATTTGTTTCTGACAAGTTAGTTGGGAGTGTCTATCATACTCTATTCCTTTCCCACAAATAGGCACTCAGTTTATATCTTTACATTTTCTGTCCACTGAATGAGAACTGCAACAAAATGTTGTAGAGTGAAATGCTCACACCTTTTTATTTTTTATTATTGCTAATTTATTTATTTTTTAAATTTTTATGCCACCTCATTAATGCAATGCACTATTCTGGGCAGTTTACAGCATGAAAAAAGAATACACACCAATAACAATGAAACAATGAAATTACTGTATAATTAAAACAACCCAAGAAATAAAACAAAATCACTACAAGATGTGTATTACCCTAATAGAAGGCAGAGCACAAGGCATGGAGCCAGGCAGGGTTGCAATGAAAGGCCTCTCTGAAAAGCAACGTTTTAAGAAGCCTTCTAAATTTTGGGAGGGAGGGGAATTCTAGGGTTCTGACCAGCAACACCCTATTCCAAGATGCTCTATTCCATGCCTCTACACTATGAACTGTGCACACTCCTCACTAGATGGTAGTGGGATTCCCCTTCCCCTCAAGCTCTCTTTTGCTCTACAGTTTCCTAACACTTCTTCTGACTTTAAATTCCCAAAGCCTGATGATTCTTCTTTCTTAAAATAAAACCATGATTATATATGGAGGCACATTTGGAGAATGAATCTGTTACTGGTACACAGCAGAACTAGGCAACCATTTTCAACATGCAAATTGGGGAAGTTGAGGACTGCTTTGTAAATTCTCCAGGGCACTTTATTTAGAAAAAAATGCACTGGGGACATTGAGATGTTCTGGGGACCCCACAAAAGTGCCTTTCAGGACACATGTGACTTACCGGCTGCACTTTGTTCACTCCAAACTATAATAACAAAAACAACAACTGTGTGCTGTCAAGTTGATTCCAACTTATGGCAACCCTTTTCAGGGTTTCACAGGTAGAGAATACTCAGGTTTACCATTTCCTTCTTCAGGGGGTTCCCTGGGACTGCAGCTTGCCCAAGGCTACACAGGCTGGTTCTCCCAGAAAGCACAGTGGGAATACAAACTCCCATCTTCTGGCTCTGCAGCCAGATATCTAAACCACTGATCTATTCAGCCAGCTACAGGATAAGTTAAAACCACTATTAAAGATTGAATGGAACAATGCTCCTGCCACCAACGGACTCGTAAGAAGGAATAATCTCTGCAGGAAGCTGAAGCACATGGTGTGTCTCCATGTTTTTAACCTCCGCTTTTATCATCATCATAGGCATCCTTCAGTCTCGAGAGACTATGGTATTGTGCTCCACTTTGGATGTCAAAGGGATCTGATCTTGAGCCATCAAAAACTACAGTGCCCTTCATTCCCTCATGAAAGGACCTGATGATGCTAAGGAGTCGAGGAGGACATCCAATCTTAGTAAGTATTTTAAAAAGGCCATCCCTGCTAACCAAGTCAAATGCTTTTGTAAGGTCTATGAAGGCCACTAAGAGTGGCTGTTGTTGTTCCCTGCATTTCTCCTGCAA